AGCACCACCCTGCCCTCTTTGGGAGCAGCTCACCTGTAGCTCTGCAGGCTGTAGGAGTAGAGCTTGGCACACACGTGCTGGCCAACAGGCAAGAGACCAGATGATCGCAGCAACCGGCCAGTGAGGGAGGCTGCAAAGGAAGCCTCTGGTGAGCTGGAGAGCAGGGGTAAGGACTTGGAAGAGACATTCCACGTCCTGGGGCAGGCACAGGGAGGCAGTGGGGTGGTTTGTGTGTGCTCTCGAGTCTAACTAGACAGGTTTGGAGGGAGATTTGTAGGCCGGAGGGGCTAAGTACCTTCTGCTGGGTCAAAAACAGGAAGAATGGGACATGGAGTGGAGTCTTGGACTTAGAGGTCAGAAAACCTCAGGTTGACTATCTGCCTTTTAATAGCTGCCATCTTTTTTTAAATTACATTTACTAATTTACTCAGTGCTTGTATGTACATATGCCACGGCATGCATGTGCAGGACTTGTGTTGATTTCTACCATGTGTCATACTTGGTAGCAAGCCCGTGGGACCACTTAAGTTATCTTTCTGTTCCTGCTAGCTATGATCTTAATCTGTAGCTACATCTTTCTTGGTCCTTAGGAGTCAAAAGGAGAAAATGTGTTTAGGTGCTGTAAATTTGTAACCACGTCTCTCCTGCAGAGTGTCACTCCAATCTGAAGGGAATGTCCAGTCTGCATAGAACACGGAGGTGAAAATGGTTGTACTGTGGCACTGAGAACGCATCAGGACAAGGTGGGGTTTGGAGGTACTACACATAACTCTGTGCCGCCGCCCCCCATGCTCTCTTCCCAGACCACCAACCACTACTCACCCTGGAAGGAGCCATGTGACCGAAAGTCATGGCCCAGGAGTCCGACTGCAAAGACCAGAAGCAACAGGAGTAGCCGGGCCCAGGGTGGCCGAGGACCCCGTGCCCGTTCCAACAAGCCCTGGCAGCAGAAAGAGGACAGTGGTCAGCGGTAGAAGGCCTGGTCTCTGCTTCCTAGTGCAAGTCCCAAGGTAGGCCTCCACATATGCTTGAGGTGGGGGGGGGTCCACAGATAGGCGGGACAGGGGTGTGACCCAAGCCCAACCCAGGGTGTACCAAGACAGACGTGGGACAGGGCATGGGCTGGGAGGTTGGGTACCACACCTTGCAGGCTGCATCGCAGGTGACAACATGCTCATTGCTACCACTGCCCTTCTTTAGAAGTTCCTGGTTGGCAAGCTCGAAGGACTGAATGGTTTCTTGCAAAGACTTGCGTGCCTACAGAATGCCAAGAGATGAGTTGAGAATGTGAGCCCTGGCCTGTGACGGGATCCTGAGCCTCCATCTTCTTCATGCTCAGTGTCAAAGGCACAGGAAAGGGAGGATAGAGGGCAAGGGCACAAAGCGAGAACCAGGCAAGCCCTGGCCTCCCACATCCTCTTGGCTGCTCACCTTCTTGGGGATCCGCTCCCAGGACTTGAGCAAGTGTCCCAGCAGCAGGCTGTGGAGAAGCGCGCTTGTTTCAGTCAGCAGCCCACCGGGCCTGCTTCCCCCTCTCTGCCTACCAAGATCCTGGGTTCTCAGTGCTCAAAGATCTCCACCCACGGTCGTTCCTCAAAGGCCACCCCAGCCGTGTCCTTGCTCAAACGGACATGTGTGAGCCTGGAGAACACTGACCAGTGTTTCTGCTCTGACACACCAGCCCTAGTCTGGAAAGCGTGCACTAGGCGGCTTCTCTGTGTTCATCAGAGCAGGTGATCCCTACCCCCACCTGCCTGGACTGTGACAGGTGCTTGGGATACAGCTGTCTCCAGACGCTGGCGCTGAGGGGGTCCACAGTCAGGCACTGAGTCAGGCTGCCCAGGAGCTGCCCAGGACAAAAGAGAGAATGCTGGGGCTTCAGGGTGGTCAAAGGAGGGTGCTGGGACTTCTGGAAATAACATGTCTACCACGAAGGGGGAGAAATATGGTCAAGACGCCTGAGACGATGTCATGGAGTAGGTGTGGTTACTGAGCTGCAGTCTTGTCTACAAATGACAGTCCACCACTGACCACCCTCCCCTCCTCTCAGGCCCAAACTCCCGTGGGAAAGCCCAAGTGAGTGGGGCAGATGGCCGTGGGAGAGAGCTGAGCTCCCAGCAAGGAAAGACTTCTTACCTCTCTCTTCATCTCAGCAGGACAACTAGGGGTGGCTCTGGACAGGAACGAGGGGAAGTAGGTGTGCAGGGTGGATTCTGGCTTGGCCCCAAACGCCAGCACCTTCAGTCGGGGGAAGAGCTGGCACAGCTGTCCCTGCAGGCTAGGGGAGGAGGGTCCGGCTCAGGCTGTAAACGGACCTGTGATACTTGAGCTCATCCCTGGCTTGAAGGCACAGTCACTGTCTTGTGATGGTTCTGAATCTTTGTACACAGAATCACCTTGCAAAGTTTGTCTCCCTAAAGACTGCCCGTTACACTAAAAAGAAAAACTGTCACATTCAAAGACATATATAATTTCTGGACCTCACAGGCCCCTTGAAATCTCCTGTCCAAATGTCCAGTTGTGAATCTAGGGCTTCAGAGGACAGGGGATATAAATGCCCTGTTGTGGCTCGATGTTGTGCTGGGAACTCTGCCCCGTATGCATTCTCCAAAGCAGTCCTACCTGGGGGTCAGGGAGTTGTTGGGCATATAGGCAAAGTCTAGAAGCGGGAAGAAGTCCTTGGGACCAATCATGCCAAAGCCTTTGGTGAGGTTAGGATGCATCCTAGGAAAGAAGATGCAGGCTTGTTGGAAGCCACTCTGATACTCCAAACACGAACCCGGCTCAGCCAGTGTACAGAAGAAGGGCGTAGACTCTACCCCAGCCCCAGTGTACAGGAGAAGGGCGTAGACTCTACCCCAGCCCCAGCCCTCAATGGCTCCTCCCTTTCCTTCCTCACCATCACGCTTGGAGGTGGGAGGAGCTGGTCCTGATTTTCCTCGCATCTATGGAGACCAGGATCACGGCATCCCATTTTGCCGAAACAGCCTCTTGTGGACACCCTGGGCCTTCCCCTCGCTGTCCCCCCATTACTCACAGGAGCAGCCGGTCCAGGTATGCGATGGCAAAGGGAGACAAAGACTTGATGCCCAGCACAGGCAGCATGATCCCCAGCCACACTGTAGAGTCAAAGGCAGCAAGTCTCAGGCTCATGCACAGGGGCCATCAGAGAGGAGACCAATCCATCCTTCTCTGTCTGTTACCTTTCAATCCCTCGGTGAGGTTGGCAAAACCTGCTTGCCCCAGGGCCCACATGATGGTCAGGCACTTTGCTGGTCGGCTCTGGTGGGACCTCAGAAGCTCTAGGAACTGAGGAGACGGGTAGAAAAGGCAGGTTATAGGGCAGCATACCAGCACTACAGATCCTAGTGGGAAGATTATAGGGAAGGTGCCAAGAACAGTGGAGCCCTGTGGCGGTATGGCACCATGATGCCAGTGACACTTTCCCTACTCTCCTCAAACTGGCTGACCAGTTCTAGGAAAGCTATGGAATCTCTCTATGGCCCAGCCAGTCTGAAATACAATGAATGTCTGGGTCATCCTTAAACAGAGACACATAGTTGACAGCCAAGCCTAACAATGTAGATTCTGTCTGGTTTCCCTAGTCCTACCCCTGGAGTCCCCAGTACCTCCCAGGGCTCACCTTGCCCAGGTTTGAGGTGACAATCTTGGGCTTGTCTTGCAGAATGGCCTGAATACAGATGCGGTACCCATGTAGCGACTCCCCTAGAGAGACATATGTATGTTCTCAAGCCCACTCATAAGACTTGGCACCCCACACTTTTTTTTCACCTGTGAGCCTAAGCCCTAGTTTCCTCTTCCTCCCTCCTGTCCCAAAAATGTTTTTTGGAGATTAGCACATTTCTTGTTAAGGGAATGGGCTCTCCAGACAGCCATCCTTCACAGGGCTCTCTTACCTGGTGTCTTATCCAACTCTTGCAGCATGGTGAACAGACAGTGATCGAAAAAGAGCTCCATAGACCCTGCAGCTTTGGTCAGGAGCTCTCTGATGATCCCACGCAGCTCTGGGCTCACGAGGCTGAAGGGATAATCTGGGGCCATTGGCCTCTGTGAGTGCTAGGACGAGGTGCCTTTGCATCAAGGCTGGCTTTCTCTTTCCCAAGGAGACCCCCAGCCACCCGCACAGCCACATGCCTGAATCAGGACAGCAGAGGCACGGGCTCTGGGAACATCCACCCTTTCGGAATGTCCTCAGCCTTATCTGAGCTGAGGGGTGGGGAACTTACCATGTGGATACTGGCTCAGAGTGGGCTCTATCCGCGGAGTCTGGAGCTTGTAGTTGAGATAGCTGGCCAGGTCCTTCAGCCACACAGAGGGGTTCCCAGTGAACACGCTCTGGCTCTTGTCCAGTTCCTTGTGCAGAGCTGCCACATCCAGCTGTGAGGGAGAGACTTGTACGGTGAGTCGTAAGGGGAAGGGAAGTGGCTGAAGGAGGTCTGTGAATGTGGACGCTATGATTTTGTTTGGCACACCTAAGAAAGTATGAGGCGGACAGCCGGGAATGCTGATGCTAATGCCACACACTTGTAGGCCCCTGACATGGTCAGGGCAAGAACAGAGGGCAGGATGGGAAGCGAAAGGCCACTCTTCTGGGGACAGAGAACCCAAGCCGGCTTTCCCGTCACCTCCATCTTGTTCTTGGGGTTTCTACCACCGCGTCACCCACTTCCTTTCTATCCCAAGTGCAAACACTCCGTCCCTTGGCATTTCCATCTTTCCTGGACTCCTCCCACCCGAGAGCCCTACATCTCCTCCCCACCCCAAGCCGAGGCTCACTTACAGCTTTCAGTGCCTCCTCCAGGCTTCGGAATGGGCCCTGCTTCTGGTTTTGGCTAGTGACAGCGGTCGCCTTCTTTGGTTGCTTCTTGTTCGCTGGTTTCTTAGGCTCCACAGCAGGGGGTGGGACTTGTTCTTTATTCTGGCGCTTCATGATTTTCTCAAAGCCCCGCTCATAGAGAGTGCTTGTGGTCTGGATTGGAGCTGGAAAGAAGACAGAAAACAGCGACCCTTAATATCCCAGGACCCAGCACAGCGGTCCCAAGCTCCTCCTCCCTTGGGAGCAGCTTAAAGAGCACAGCAGAGAGCTCTCCTGGTGGCTGACTTCAGAAACCACCAGCAGGTCCCTGGCTCTTCCAGTTCCTTATCAGATAAGTCAAGGTATGCGGGAGCTGGGCCTGACTCGGGTACCGAGGGTGGGCTTCGAGCCTGACTCGGGTGCCGAGGGTGGGCTTCGATGGTTCTGGTTGCTAGTCTGTGATTTTTCCAGCACGTTCCCACTCCCAATTCTTGTTGGTTCTGAAATAACAAGTGGCAAGCTTTCCCCCCTCCTCTGGAGACTGTGGGACAGGTGACACTGCGATTACCTCCTGGCTGGAGTGTATGTCGGATCATTCCTCCCAGTGTTGGGCTTCTCATCCACCCCTCCCCCCCAGACCTGCTGGTTACTTTAGAAGAGGCCCTGTGTGGGATCCCGGATGCCTCTGCCCAGCCGCTCAGACACCTGGCCAACGAGGGCCGGGACAGCTGAGCGGGTTGTGTGCAAAGGCCTGAACAGATGGAGATCGGAATTCCATTCTCTTCCGACTCAGAGTCTGCTTCGCTGGGCCTCCTCTTCCTGACCCATGCAGCGGGGATGGCCACCTCTCCCTGCGCTATCAGCCGTGGTGGCCGGGGTCCCGCGGATCCGCTCTCCGCTTTCACCGACGCTCTGCCGCGCCCCTGCCCCACAGGCCCAGGTGGGCGGCGGCGGGTACTCACAGCTCAGGTCGTATTTCCACACTCCGTTTGCCTCCCCGAGCGCTCGGCGGTCGCCGCCGCCGCCGCCGCCTCGACCACCGCCGCTTGTTCCAGGTCGCCTGCCCTTCTTCACCACCTCCCAGCCCCCGCTGCCCGCTGCCCTGGCCGCCATGACTTCGGCTCCGCCACCTCCCGGCTTTCCAGTCGCGCGGCCTTCGCGCGGTGCCACGTCGCCGCTGCCGCCGCCGCAAGGCAGCCTGGGACTCGTAGTCCGTCCGCGCCACCGCGCGGCGAGTCTGGGGAATGGCGGTGGCGGCCAGACCCCGCCCCTGCGGCGTAAAAATCCCTCTGCTGCAACCTGCGGCGTGGGCTCTGCTCTGTGCAGTTTGAAGATGGGATTAGTCCCGTTTTTCTTGTCTTGTCCACCCTCCTCCCTCTCCTTTGGGTTTTTCGAGACAGGCTTTCTCCGTGCAGCTCTGGCTGTCCTAGAACTCTCTCTATAGACCAGGTTAGCCTCGAACTCAGAGGTCCACCTCCCTCTGCCTCCCTAGTGCTGGGATTAAACACATTCTTACAGGACATGAAGTTCAGCTGTGGGAGGAATGAAGCCCGAGGATGAGGGAAGGGTTCCTGAAACAGTGGCAGTTGAGATGGCTCCTAGGAAGGAAGAATTTTCATTGGTTGGAGGTCACAGCCAGTGGGGACCACTTCACTTGTACGGCTTCATTAATTTAGGCAAAGGTCTAGGGTGGGAAAACTAGAATTCAGCATGATGGGACTTGATAAGACTGGGAAAGGATCTTGGTTGCCAAATCTGGACTTTATTCTGTAGACCTCCGAAAACAGTGGAAAGGTGGCATGGCCCTTAAAAAGACAGAGCGTGGAATGTGTGAATGATGGGCCGCACAGAGAGACAGCAGGTGGGGGTGGCCAATGCTTGCAGCCTCCTTGTGGGTCCTCCATCCTTTAGGCCTGAGCATGGCTGACTGTCTCAGGGGGCTCTGAGATGGGATTCTCTGTTCGTTTCTCAGATCACCGGTTACCTCAGACACCAACAATGCTCCTTTTGTTCAGTCCCTGCTGTCACATGTATGGTCACAGAAGAGGCCCTATTTTGGGAAGAGAGACAGAACTGGTTTTCCCACGGCAACTTCAGGTGATCTGATGCTCTCTTCTGACATCAGAGAGCATCCACACATGTGTGCACATACTCACACATACACATACATAAATAAAAATACTATTTGAAAAAGAATGAATTCTAACCAAGGTTTCTACCACCTTGAGCAAGCCTTCTTATCCATGATCTAGGTCAGTGGTTCTCAACCTTCCCAATGCTGTGGCCTTGAATACAGTTCCTCATGTTGTGACTCCTCAACCATAAAATTAAACTACTCCTTAACTGTAATTTTGCCATCATGAATCAAAATGTAAACATCTGTTTTCTGATGATCTTAGGTGATCCTGGGGAAGGGTCATTTGACCCCCAAAGGGGTCATGACCCACAAGTTGAGAACCGCTGGTCTCAGCGACTCCCGAGGGGCTCACATTCACCTCTGTATTCTTGGTCTTTGTTGGGCTTCCAGGGCCTTGGCTGTCATGGCTCTTTGGCAAACAGGCTCCAGGAGTGTGGGGCTGTGTGGATGACATGGAAGTGTTTCTGAGTACTCCTTCCCATCACATCTGGCTGTGCTCTGGGGGCTGGGGTGTAACCTGAGTGCCTGTGTACTTGCTCTGGCCTTCACCCCCCATGTACACACTTGCACACACATGCACAAGTATAAAGGAAAAGAGGAGCCATACAGCAGACACTGCTGTCCTCTGGGCCCGGGCTTGTTTGCTGCAAGGTTGCTTGGAGGCATGAATGCTCTGACAAGCAGTTGAGGGCTATCATTTAGTCCAGCCTACAGGAGACTGGAACGAAACATTGCTTGGCCAAGGATATCCCCATCACCCCAAGGCCATCTTACAACCACAGCTGCAGACTTTCTCCTTCCTCCCATGGGTTCCGTTATGGTGAGACCACTCCAAATCCTAGCTGGAATAACCGTCTTGTAGCAAGGCACCATCTGGTGGGTCTGTGTGCCTTACAGCAGCAAGACAAGACAAGCTTTGCTGCAGCCATTACTTCAACTGGACAGTGTTTTCTGGAACTGGCTCAGTTCCTGGCAAGGACAAGGGTTGAGTACATACGAACACAGTTCTCTCATTGTCTAGTTTTGTCTGTGCCTTACGCTGTCTGGGCATTAGTCACCTTTGGGGCTTTAACACTAAGTAGTGCTCTGAGCCCAGGCTGTGTCAGTTCTGCTCTAGACATAAGAATTGTATAAAACTGCATGGCAGGAGTGTGTAGAGAGGTACCTTTGTCATCCACTGGCCTGTAAGGCATCCCTGACAAACTCACAGTATGCATCAAGACAATATGAGTATAATAATATGTACGATAAAACTCACATTACCCATCACCTTGAACAAGTCATTTCTAGGTCTATTGGTGCCATCCCATTTTGGGGGCAGTCTTAAATCTCCCTGAAAAAATCACATAAAATATGCTTCAAGAGCAGTCAGCAGCCTTGGGAGTTGGGTCTAGGTCAGAGCTTGTGCCAGTGGTGGCTTCTAATAATGTGAGGCTGTGCTGCATGACTGTCCCCTCAAGAGAGAGAAGAGGAAGATGGTAATGTGCTCCGAATCCTGGCTGTGGCTCGGTCAAGGGAAACATGGAAAGAACTTTTACCACACAAATTTATTTAAATAAAAGTGAACACATACGCAGGCTAGTGCCCAAGGGGCAAAGGTGGGGGGTGGAGGATGGGGGACAGACAGAAAATGGGGGCCAGGCAGAGTCTGTGTGGTGTAACCAGGCTGCAGGAGGGAGTGGGGAGGAAGCCTCGGGGCAGTGCTGGGCTTTGGTGCTGAGGCGGGGCCTTGGGTGGGTGGAGCCAGTGCCACAAGGCCATTTCTACCCCTCACAATGTCCCCTCTCTCCCTGGACTCACAGCACTGCCTCCTCAGCCCCCATCCCTGTCCTCATACTAGCTTTCCCCTCGACTACCGAGAGAAGTCAAGAGACAACATAAATAAGAATTGATGAGTCCTGCCCCAGTCTTGGCTAGAGGTAAGGGAGCCAGGCCAGGAAGACTGCCCCGAGCCCTGCTGTCAGCCCTGGGAAAGAACAGGTAAAGTGCAAGGAGAATCCAGTGAGTAAAAATATACCAATGACTTTGTCAAATATACAGCTGCTGGCTGTCAGGGGGCAGGTGGCTGGCTTGTGGGTGACAGCAGCACCCTGGAAAGTGTTGGCCAACACAGCGTAGAGACAACGGAAATAAATAGGAGTGGGGAGTGGACGGGGTCCTGGAAGTCCCCTGGGCCAGTGCCACGTGAGGGACCCAGTCAGGGCCTTGTCCTCTCACCTGCCCAACCCCCCGGGCCCCACCTGCCGGCTCCCAGTGCTACGGCACTGATACAAAGCACCCCGCGGGCTGACTGGCTGTAAGGAAAGGACTTATAATGTGGGGTGGGCATGGGGTGGGGGCAGGGAAGCCACAGTCAGTCAGGGCTGGCGCTGCCCTCAGTACTCGTCCTGGTCTTCCTGTTGGTGTTCTTCAATCTCATCGTCCTCAGGGGGTGCAAATCCCTCCTGGAGGTGGGGAGAGAGAAACAGTGAGCCAGCTGGCCAAGCTGAGGGATCAGGTTCCACACGCGGTCTAAGTGGTCACGGGTTCAGAGGTCTAGCTGCTTTCCAGTCTTGGCAGAGCCATGGAAGGGAGTTGAGGAGGGGCTCACCTCGGTGGCATAGAGAATGCCAATGATGCCCGAGATGACAGGGCTATTTTCGCTTTCATGTTCCTGGCAGATCAGCTCGATGTCACGCAATTTGCTGAAATAGAAGTCTCTTTCTTTCTCCAGCCCATCCACCGTCAGCTTCAAGTCCAGCAGCTGCTTGGGCAGAAAGAAATGTTTGTGCCAGATGTTCCTGCCTCTGGCGCTTCTGCCCGCCTTCCTCTTGCCCCAGTACCAACCACCCTTGCCCATCCTGCTCACTTGCTGGTTGAGCTCAAGAATCTGGGCATCAGCCTCATGACCACCGTTTCGGGCTGATGGGGGATTCTTCCGGAGGATGCAGGGTGGAGCCACATTGCTGAGTCGGCCAGTGGTCTGCATGTTCTTGGGGCCTGTGGGGGACGTCCTCTGCGGAACTGTCCAGAGGACAAGAGTCAGATGAGGGGCAGAGCGCATGAGAGCCTGGCATGAGGACCATGCAGCAGCAGGCAGGCACTCTCCCTCGGGAAGAGCATCTACAGCTAGGCCTCAAGCCTCGGCCACATGTGACACGGCAGCCACTGCACAGCCCTTTGGCAAGCCTGGGAGTGGAAGCGCCACAGGAAGCTAAGGTCATCTCAGTATTGGGACCTGAAGAGAGCTGGCGCCTGAGGGAGGGATGCAGGACCCGGGATGGTGCATTTGATGAAGTGGAGCTGGGAGGGTTCAGGGCCTTCTGTACTGACAGACGAGACCCAGGAGAGCTGTTGATGCAGTCTGTCCTAGCAGAAGCCAAAGCCACCCTCAGTGAAAATCAGCCCCACCCCTCCAGCTGCCTGTCAGTTTGGGCTCTGTCTCCCCCTGCTGGGCTGGACCTGCATCTGCACAGTGGTGGAGGACTCAGGCTCCTCCCTAGCACTGCCTGCATGCTGTGGCTTCTAGCTCTTTAGAGACTGCACCTCCCTAGACAGGGGCTGCTCCTAATGCAAAGCAAGCATGGGCAGGCCCAGGCAGGACAGCAGCGCAAACGGAGGAGGTGGCTCTGCTATGACGGGTCAGATGAGGGTGGGAGCTGCTCCCCTCTTTCTTGCCACACCCTTGCTGTCACCACAGGCCTTACTGCTCCTCTCACACTGCTCCCAGCAACCCAGCAAGGTATCAGTTCTGGAAACTTATCTCTGGGCTATGGGATTCTGGAACAGGTAAAGGCAGGATTGAGCTTGGCAAACTCCTGCTTTTGGGTATCCAGTGGGCAGGGATACATACGGGGCTTGGATACAGGCTGCAGGCGCTCAGCCTGATGGAGCCAGAGTGGAGCCATGCCCCATCCAACTTGAGGCACACACGATAGACCACATTATGCCACAAAGCATCCTGGGTCTCAGCGAGCTGCCACTATACCTGGTGCAGGTGGCTCCCCTCTTAGAACAACTTTTGCAGCCCTGTCACCCCAAAATGGGACTCCCCACCTAGGTAAGCAGCAGGTGATGTCATCTGAACTCCGTGATAACAGTCTCCTCCAGGCTGGCAGGGCTGGGCCGGTGGCCCAGGGGGCACTCCTGGCTGGATAGCCCTGCCGGCCCAGCCCCCCAAACTCCCTCTACCAGCTTGGGCATGTTACCTGCTGTGCCAATGAGTTTCTTGGATTTGTTGAAGATCTGATCACCTGGGTTAGGAGGTGGTGCTACGTCCTGGCCCTGCCGCGCCAGCAGAGGGTTGTAATCCTTTCCATCATAGTTTGCGTCAAAGAATTTCTTAAACCACTGAATAAACTCAAAATTATCTTGGAATTTTCCTTTCACTAATTTCTCTACAGGAATGATCTGAAATAGACCACATAAGCAGATCATTTTTAACCACCTGCTGTGTAGGGCTGCCTTCTGCTGTCAGTGCAGGAAAGCCAGCCCCTAGGCCACAACATCATCTCCCTTCTCCATCTGCACCCCCTCCCATGGCACCAGAGGAGACAAGGAGGCTGGCAGGCCCCACCAGGGAGGAACTCAGGGACATTCCTTTCCTATAGGCACAGGAAAAATTGTGTGGGAGGTGACCCTGCCGCCTGTGCATGAACTGGAGGCCCAGGATCCACACAGGCAGGGTAGTTAAACTGTGGGGGCCTCTGAAGAGATACGGCAGGGGTGATACACAGAGCCTCAGCATCTGGAGTGGAGTGGGTCCATGGAGAAGAAAGGAAAGTGTTTCTCAGTGGGATCTAGGGGGTTAAGAGCATTCCCCGTGTCTTGAGCTGGGTGGGTGGACAATATTCATTTGGGTGTCAGGGGTGGAATGAACCGAGCAGCCCTTGTCACCCTGGCTGGTGGGTCATCTTCTTCCCCAGGGATACACAGCTCCTCATGGACCCCAGGGGTACAGACACCTACTTTGTCGACACCCATCTTCTTGAAAGCTGCTTGCAGCACCTTGAAGTTGTGGATGTATTCGTGCTCTAGTTTGGCCTGGAACTTGACCTTCCTCAAGTGCACACAGCCAGGGAAGAGCATGTCCATGAACTGGCAGTAGGCTGCCCCTGTGAAGAGTCATGGCTGCTGAGGGGCATCACTCAGCCACCACCCACGCCCCTGCTGTTCTGCTCCCCAAAGCCTGGTCCCTTTTCCTTTGTCAGCCGACATAGACAGGTGATAGCATCCCTCTGACTGGAAGGGAAAACTGGCACCCACAAGGGCAGAGGGTTGGACCCAGAGTGGCTCCATGGGACTCCGTGCTGTTAGCTCACGGCTTCACTGTCTGTCCTGGCTCTGGTTTCCCAGGAACGCCCCACCTGCTCTCCACTTTTCCAGCCTGTTTCCTGATTTCAACCCTGAGCATGGTAGGTATCGCATGTTCTTTCTCTCTGTGTTAATTACAAGTCACGTGAGCCTTTCCCTCCTTTCCCTCAGGCCACCTACCCCCTGTTGTAGCTACCTACCTGAACAGAGCTGTTCGATCTTGGTATAGTTGAGGTGCAGGGAGTCATTGACCCACGCAAGCATATCATGGCGACTCAGATTCTCACTGGTCACAGATGTGGAGTACACATTGACGGCCATACCCCAGCTACAAAGAAAGAAAAGAGACATCAGCACGAGGGCTTGGAGCTGTTCTCCAGCCTGGTTGGGCCCTGGGGGCATAAGCATTCCCTTTATACCAGTCTTGCAATTCCAGTAGAGAATGGGCTTATGTTCAATCTGTAGACATGTTAACTAGTGTCTATTATAGCGAGGCACACTAGTATATGTTATATATATAGACACTCCAGGAGTCAGTGAGTGATACAAAGTTTACTAAGTTTCTACTTCAAGAGACAGGCAAACCTAAGCACAGCAAGAGGAGCAGCTGATGAACACATGACGTTCAAGGATGGAAAAAAAGGGTGTGTGTGAGTGTGTGTGAGTGTGTCTGTATGTGTGTGATCTCTTTGACTGGGCAGGGTTGTGAAGGCTCAGAGCAGAGATGGGAAGAGTAGAGATTTTCTGGACAGAACAAGGAACGGGGTGAAGGGGCCCAAGAACTGGCCAGAACAAAGGCATGGCTCATTTCAAGAGCTCTGAGTTGCTAAGCAGGCTTGGGGCATAGGTTTCCGTGTTGAGGCATGATGCAATGAGATTAGCAGGGACAGATCTGGAAGTTTTGTTTACCCCTAGGGAAATTCTATTTGGTCAATGTGAAGTCACCAGGAGATTTTAAACAGACAGTAACCTGACCAGATTTATGTCCTGAAGCCAATTAACCATTGCTTCCCCCTGCTTTTACATTTCCTGTTCTCCTGACCACTGAGTGGTCTGCTGGATGACCCACAGGCAGCTAAGCTCCTAGTCTCCAGAACTGTCTCTTTGAATATTTATAGTTTCAGAGAATACAAACACCAGCTCCGAATCAGTCTCCTCAAAGCCTGTGAGATTTCCTAGCCCACCAACTCTCTCTTCTGTCTCATCCCTTAGCTCCCCCTCCTCAGTGGTCCAGCCTCTTCCCTCCCTCCAACTTTTCTCAGTTTCTGGCAGCCACAGCTCTTGGAAACCTCCCACTAAGCCTTCTGGCCTCCAGCCTTTCTCCCACATCCATTCCAACACCCCTGAATTTATCTAACAGCAGGCCTGGACACCCACACCCCAACTTCAAGCCAGAGGTGGTAAATAAGGCACCCAGGGATGTATTTGTCTTGCAAACTTGAACTGTTCAGCAGTGGAAATATTGGAAACATCTGTGCATTAATGCTCAATATTTAAAGGCTAGGATGCTTTGCATAGACTACTTGGTATTCCTGAAGATTTTTTTTTCGGCCACTCTGAGCCAAAACGTTTCTCCATTCATACAGATGGTGCTGAGCAGGGCGTTCAGGCCCCTCCAGGAGGCAGGATGAGCCCCTCACTACCCCCCCCCCACAAGTCAGGTGTCTGTTGTGCTCTGTCATTGCTAAGAGAAGAGGGAAGAATTTCTTATACTTTGGCCTTTATTGGAAACGGAGAAACAAGTGACATAAAAGCACTATGTGTCCCAAGAACTCAAGAGCTCCTATTTCTAGAGTGAAAGTATTTTTCCAGGCTTCTTTGTTAGTTAGTTTTTTGAGACAGGGTTTCTCTGTGTAGCCCTGGCTGTCCTGGAACTAGTTCTATTGACCAGGCTGGCCTCAAACTCACAGAGATCCACCTGCCTCTGCCTCCTGAGTGTTGGAATTAGAGGTGTGCGCCACCATCCCCGGCTATGTTTCTAGGTTTAATGTGCAGAATCTTTGTGAAGGAAGATTACACTGTCCTGATTCCTAGTACCCTGTAGGCAGCCACCCCCTCCCACCACGACCCCCAACTTGATACGCAGTGCTGTGTTTTTCGAGACAGGGTTTCTCTGTGGCTTTGGAGGCTATCCTGGAACTAGCTCTTGTAGACCAGGCTGGTCTCGAACTCACAGAGATCCGCCTGCCTCTGCCTCCCGAGTGCTGGGATTAAAGGCATACATCACCACCGCCCGGCTAAGGACTCATTTCTAATGAGATGGTGTCCACATAGCCCAGTGCTGCGGGGAGGGATGACGTTTAGTGAACCGTCGGAGAGTAAATGAATGGACTTCGGGACTGGGGGCAGACTGCCAAAGAAGGATGCGGACAGAGATACCCTGGCTGCTAGCTGGGAGAACTGAGAAGGTTGGACAGACAGACTTATGCTTAGGAGAAGCATAAGCAGTAGAGAGGCCTCACTAAGATAGCATTTCCAGAGCCAGTCAGATGGGGGCGTGTCTGCCTAGGTGGAGCTGCATAAAGACACATGTGGTCGCATGTGACCTGGTGTCCTTTCTTCACACTAACCCTGGAAGAATCCTCTTCACTAGCTAGACCCAGCTAGACCTGCTCAGTCAGAGTCTGACTTTGATCGAGTCACTCACTCTAGGCCAGGCAGATGTGACAAGTCCTACTGTAGAACAGGGCTCAGTCAGCCTTGTCTGGGCTGGCTCCCCTCACGCTTCCATCCCTGACCCTAAGCATGAGATCTAATGGAAGCTTATGACATGCATCTTTGACTTACATGAACTTTTCTTTTGGCATAAAAACCACTATAGAAAATCCTGTAATTTATTTCTAGTTCTCCCCGCCCCTCTCTTTCTTTTTTAAACAAGCCTTGTCCTTCATTGTCTGGGGAAAGGGAGCCCAAGTGTGGCTCAGAAGCCAAAAGAACCCAAAAATTATTATTTTGGGACTTTCTAACGACTCAGGACCTGGCAATTTCAGAGGATTCCCAGGATAATTTTGACTGAGTTTGAGCCCGCTGCCCTGTACCTGACCTCCCTGGTATCAAGAAAAATCTCCAGTTTCCTTAGAGTTTAGGATACAAATGTTCTCAGGAGTCACCAAGAGCTACATGACTACTTTTAAAATGCCCAGGTCTCCTCAGCTTGTCCAGACACCTCCCCAACTGTCAGTGCCCAGAGATGGGTGGGGCACTTCCTATACTTCTCAGGAATCTGAATCAGGGTCCTCGAGAGGCAACGGTACTTGTAAGGAGAGGGTTGAAAAAACAAAACAAATAAAAAAACCAGGCTCCTTTAAGGGCCGAGTAACCAATCATGCCATTTCCCCCATTGGCCTTTGTAGGAGAGCAGCCAATACCAGAACCAGAGTGGTTCTTGCAGGTGGGGCACTCTCTGCCCTGACTGGATGCATCTTGGTTCAGGAGGACTCATCTGATGGGTTAGTGAGGATCTACTACACACCTCCTGTAGTGCCATAAAGAAGCCAGCCTTTCTAGCCCTTGTCCGGCTGGATGCATGGGAAGAGGGGGGCAAACGCCCTTTGAGTTTTCTGTCCTGACTCTGGCCCTGCGCATGGAAACAGACATGCCAGCAGGTGGCACCCAGGTCTGTGAACTGCCTTTCCCAGCCAAGGCCCGAGAGAGAGAGAGAGAGAGAGAGAGAGAGAGAGAGAGAGAGAGAGAGAGAGAGAGAGAGAGAGAGAGAGAGAGAGAGAGAGAGAGAGAGATCCTGTAACTTGGATCTGAGCTTCCCCTCCCCCTAAAGAAGCCAATTTCCATACAAAGCTGGTGACATCATGGATGGGGTTAGAGTGGGACACCTATCCCCTCAGAGCCAGGTCAGCTGAAGTGGCCTAGGCATGGGTCACACTCTGAGGTTCTGGAGTGACTTCCCTTCTCCTAAAGCCTCATGGCAAACATTTGGCTTCCCCTGGAGCGGTTGCCGAAAAGGTAGCAGAGTCACAGTCTGCAAACATTTGTAATGGTAACACACTTGTCACCAAGAGCGTTTTTATTCCCTGGAGAGGAGGGTAGGGAACCTCCCCAGGCACTAC